AAAAAAAACATTGGGCGAAATAAGAGTCTTCAATTAGTAGTAATATGATCAGTATTATTTTCTTGACAATACTATACGGTCGTTGGGCGAAACCCAAAAATTCGATAGTTACAGTTTATTATAATGTTCTATTAAAGTCTCGCTAGTATGTTTTATTAGGTTATTATTTATGTAAATAAACTGACATGTCACCAACTTGTATGGTAGAAGCAACAAAAAAGCAATGATAATTATCATTTCACAAATACTTTTTTTATTTGAAATATGAAATAGCAGTACATACACCAATGGAGATTACAAACTGTTCCACAATGAAAGAAAAGTCATTTATCTTAAAAGTACATAAGCGACAACAATCTCAATTTTCTCTCCTTCTTCTTTGTGCTGCCATACGTCTTTCTTCGGCCCAGTAGTCGCGAACAACTTGGGCAAGTTTGCGATGGTTACGTTCATCTCTCGCCCTCATTTCACCAGGATATGGGTCAAGCCCTAGGGGTTCGAAAACTATCTTCAAGGTTTCCCATAGAGGCTCAGGATTGTTGCTACAATAATGGTCTACTAATGCCCAAAACTGAGAGAATATGATGTACTCAAAATTACAATATTATTACATAACAAATGGAGTTAAGACATTGTTAGTAATAGAACATATTTATATAACAANGAAAGACAAAGGAATTGTGGTTGAAATTCCGTACCTCAAGTGCTTCCTCACGATCGTCCTCGTGAAGATAGACGGTCTTTGCATGTATGTCGAAAACTCCTAATGGACAATCTAAAAAATATTAAAATGTTCGATACCTTTCTTTCAATACTATGAATGTGGTATAGCATTCTTCCAAAGTCAAATTCTAGCCAATCTCACCCAAGCAACTTCTGTATATTCTATCAAACACCATATATATGTCAAACTCGGAGTTGAACCCTTCTGACTGGATGTAATGTAGAAGGATTGAACAAAAAGATTCCTCAGCTGCTGGAAGCCATTTGTTTGAAAATCCTTCTCGTATATAGCGGAAATGTTCTTCTTTTGTTTTTGGCAATGATAAACCCCACATAATTGTAAAGAAAATCAAATAATGGATGTTTTGCAGTGGTGATAATAGAACAAATACATTTATAGTGAAACTCATGTAGGTATATATATAGGCAAAGTGTGTTGGTGATAATTGAATAGGATATAAAGGTAATAATGCGTATCGGCCATCGTTACGGTACAATTACATCTGCATGTTGTTTTTCAGTTGTACTGTAGTACAAATATGGACAAAGAAATATGGATTACAACGTTGCAGACCACAACATAAACTACATTGACGGTACACAAACTTTGCCCATGCCTAGTGGTCGTACAGGTTGTTTTTTACAATTACAACTCATTTCTATTTTTCATTTTAAAAACCTTGCCCCATGCTAGTGGTCGTACAGGTTATGTTTTTTTTTTTTTTTTCCTATTTTNTATTAATGACTGTTGGGAGTACATGTTCGTTTCTTTCCACATGAATAATCTTTATATGCATTAAAAATAACTTATATAATTCATAATATGTTTATAATATGTAGATAATTATTCTCTTCAAATACATTTTGGTAATTCATATCAAGATTATAATATGTGGAAACATTACAGAAAGAAATCTCAACAATTTTTTATATATATGTTTCTGTTTATTACAATTTTACGTTGCATGCAAAAATAATGTACGTAATAAAAAAAAATTATATACCAAATCATGAAATCTGATTTTATATAGCAAAAAATGAACACACTGATATATGTTATTTATTTACACAATGTAGACATAGTACTTAATTGCAAAAATGAATTATCATTTAAACTCCGTTGGTTGAACGTGGAAAATAACTCAAAAATATTTTCAGATATAATTTGCATTAACACACCGATAAATTCCATATAAAATAGATACATTAGAAAAAGCATACGCGACAAATAAAAGTTACTTGTAATAAAATATTTTCCTTACATCATGATGAATTTAAGAAGTGCTACAATAGTTAATAACCCAATGACCACAAAAAAACCTCTAATGATATCTGGGGTCGCAATTTCAAAGACTGACGGTGTGTCATTGTCCGTTGGCGCATGTAACGTGCTTGAGTAGTTGGACCCACGTCGTATGACTGCTATTTTGTGCATTGGATTGCGTATTACAATATGTTTGAGCACTTTCCTTTGACGAAAAAAAGCAATTACTCTCGTTATCCCAAACAAAACTTCCCGAGTGTTGTATTTCTGCTGGACACCGATAAAAATACCTACCATAATTTTTTTCTGTTTTAGCCATAAAACGGGACATCCGACCATGTCTGCAGGAACACAAAGGTGGTTGAGAAACCATGATGAATTTTTGTTTTGATGATTTGTTCGTGGGAAAAGGTGGCAGATTTATATATAGCCTCCCAAAAAAAATTTTCCCACTCAAATTCCCGGTTTTTCCTTCTTTTTTCCTATTACCTCTCGCCAAAACACTTCCTTTTCACTTTCTCCCTCTTCTACACCTTTTTGACCAACCTGCCACCTCCTAATTTTTAATTAAATTGATCCCACCAACAAATGAATGAGAAAAAGACTTCCTGCCACACCTATATCCAACCTCTCTCTGCACATAATAAAGAAAGCAACAAGGCCTTCTCATACATGATGTATCACGCCACAAAAAAACAAAAAAAATTGTAACATTACCACATGCAATGCCATTGATAAGACTCATCTTGAAGAAACAGATTTTGCAACAGTGGAAGGTTATTTTAAAAACAATACTAGATAAAGCCACGACGTGATTAGAGCTGTTGATCAACTGAACATTCGCGAACAAATTATTTTTATTCGACCTCGTTCGTGTTCGTTAAAAGCTCGTTCCTTTGTTAATCGAATGAACACGAGGTCGTGCGTAAACGTTCGATTAAGTGCGCGAACATTAATTTAATATTATTTTATTTTAATGTTTCTAGATTTACGTAATCTTTGTAATTATAATAAATGTAAAATTTATTATAATTTTGGTTAGTTTTTTTTAAAAAAAATACTTCATTCTTTTATTTTCTTGTTCGAACGAACAAATCTCGAACACAATTTTTTGCAGGAAAATATATGAAAGAACCCGAACATTGTTCCGACGAACACGCATATTTTCAAAACACCTACAAATCGTTGTACTTGTATGAGTAATACCATTTTCAAACTTTTAAATTTATTTTTAATCGTAATACAAAACAATCGTGTACTTATGGAGAATAGCATCGCTGGACAAATCTGTATACGTGGGCCAATATATTATTTGTAGGGCTATCCATTTGTTTGTAAAACAATTACATGTGCCTCAATTTGTGGCCAACCTAATATATTTCGTTTATTTGGATTGTGTATATAGAAGGAAAACAATTTCTTTTATACTAATAAGAATTACAAACATAGCGTACTCACAGTTTGTGTTATTTTTGTTGTAGTACACACTTGTAATAATGTATGAACATGAATTATAACATAATAGGAAAGTATTCATGACTTTGTTCCATGAGTACTACAAGTCGTCCAAAACCATGACATTAATCTTCAAACACAAGTTAAAACGATAATACATGAGTTCACAATAAAACACGAGTTACACGATAAAACACGAGTTCACCCTCAACAAATATGAGTTACCTCGAAACGAACACAAATATAAGGAATTAAAGTGAAGCACCATGTTGAGCCTTCAACCATTTCAGTAGCCTCCACAAGTTCCTCAGCATCCCAATTTTGCATCAAAACTTTTCCATGCCCTTCAACTATTTGTAATTCATATGTAGTCCCCTCAAACTCCAAAACTGCTCTGAAAGTGTCGCTGGGCTCGCTAAGAACATAAGATCGCAAAAAATTGATAGGAATTGGCTGCAATAAAGGGTAAGTGAAGATGCGGTTCAAAAAAACTAGGAAGAACATAAATAAAAAGGAGATTAATACACAATTGCCAAACACACATGGGTTTTCTTGATTTCTAGCGTATAACGGTGTCGAAGATCCTGCTCAACTTGATTGTCTGTGTGGATTGTCACTATGAAATCCGTAAAGGATGTGCGGTCGAACCACAAACAATTGTCGGTCTTAATCTCCTCACCACGCACAAAGTTTAGCCACCCTTCAGCAAAAACCACCCGAAAGCGATTACCTCTCAATGTCACGTTATACCTCTGCCCCTCTCTAGTGGTAAGGGTGCACTAAACAGGTATAAGGTGGCTATATTGATGGTTTAGAGCGTCCGGAAGCTTTTGCGTTGCACATACAAAAATCCAATTGACGGTTTATGTGATATTATACCCAATAGTTGACGACGAAATTAAACATGAACATGAGGATTCAAATTACGCAAACCTACCAATGTTGGTTTCTCCGGATTGACAATGTAGTTGAAGAACCTTTCAAAGTGCTCGGACATGTTGTGTTACGTGTTATGTACATGGTTAAGGCCTAAGACAAAAATTCCCAACTTCAGACCAAGTAAGGTAAAATATTATAGGAAAAAAAGAACACTTCTTGGACACAGGCAATGTAACGGAAAAGCCGAAAGGACAACACACATACAAATATGGGGCGAAATGTATGACGAGAAATAGGAAGTCCGTTACTCAGTCTACAATTACCACAACAACAATAACGAACACGGTTTCCCAGTGGATACCCTCAACATACTCTACTAATAACGATGACTATAATGTATTCGAAAATAAAATCGATTCCAAAATATCGATAGTTAGAAAAAGTAAAATCGCTTTCAATTCTAGTTAATATAGGCTTAAGGCACAAGAACCAAGTGGAATCGTTGGTTACGAAGAACACAACAAGTAAAACCAAAAAGTGGCAATTGTCGGGGCATACCTCTTACAACGATCCGTCTTCTTCTTCGCTTCGACTGTGGCGGTACCAAGGGCGGATTGGAGAGGGTTTGTAGAAGGAGAAGAAATTGAAATTGACTGTGGGGCTGTGGGGGAATGGGCAATAGTGTTGGAAACCGCAAGGCTTTGTTCTTCCCAACAATTGAAATTGGACGGAGAAGTACTGGAATGGGCTATGTCGGTCCTCGATTCCACCGCCTCTCTCGGCCCTTGTATTTGTCTTTTTTTGGTCAAATGGTCTTCATACATCCAGTCCTCGATGGTTCTTAGTTGTACCGAAAAAGTGGACGGAGAAGTATTAGAATGGGCTATGTCTTTTTTTGGTCAAATGGTTCTTGGTTGTACCGAAAAAGAAAAATAAAATNTTATTGATGAGAATTTCTCTGTTTATGTAATGAGGAAAAAAATAGGCTATACCTTTTGTATTGAGATTTTTCTTGCAGTGAAAAGTTAATAAGAAGGATATTTTGTTAAAACATAAAATCACACTTAATATTATTAAATTTACTCTTAGTTATGTGCATCAATTTTACTTTTACTATTGCTCTTTACTGCCTCCATTAAAATCATATGGACCAATTTTGGCTTTAATTACAGTAGACCAAATTTGCTTTTAATTTTGCTTTTATTGCTTCCATCCTAAGGACCAATTTTTTAATGAAATATTGTTTTTTTAATAAAGAGGGGAGCTTGTTGCGGACCTGCGGTTCCATATTTTGTAACTTGTAAAATGTGTGGGCTTACCACTACATATATTTATAATGGATATGGTAGAGGCTTTCAGTAAACCAGGAAAAAAAACATACACCAAAACACCCCATTACAAAGCCATCCTTCCTCCTGTCTTCTCGCAGCGGCCCTACCCGACAACTATAGTTGAGTGTTGAGGTTGGTATTATATATTTTTCGTAATTCTATATAAAAGAGAAATCATGGATGAAATTTTTTGGATTAAAATTTCATATCGCCTTTTTCGTAATTCTATTTAAATACGTTTGACCCGTTTGTTACAATTATTACGGATGCAAGCAGCCCGACATTGGTATGATTTTGTCCGTTCGGAAAAACATGTTTTTGTTTTAAATGGCAATATTTAACTATTAACTGCAATGAATATCCGTCCAACAAAAAGCATGTGCTATTGATACAGGCGTTGCCCGAGTCAATCTACCATTAGTATACAAATCATGTCACAGTAAATTGCACAATTGTTACTAGGGAGCATTGTACTTATGAAGTTTGGTTGGTAAAAGTCGTAAATCAATTGCAATTTGATGACAGTTCGGAATATTTCGTACAAGCGGAGATTATTCGGGGGGGCTACATTTTGTACTTCGAGCGCCACAGTCTATATGAATTTGTAGTGAAAGTATTCACTTGTATAATTCCGTTGAATGACCTCCGCAATATCGCTTCTTTTTGGATATGAAGAAAACGCACGTAGAATGGGCACGTTTGGTACGTTTCTCGACCCACATAAAATGAGCTAACATATACAAGGAAAAAAATATGAATTTCATTGTTTTACTATTGTAGGCCATTCCTATGAGCTTTTGGAGGGAGTATATACAAGACCAAATTAATGATACTAGTAGAGCAATCTTGATGTGTAAAGGAGGTCGATACAATGTTCCTATAATCCAAGCGCATGGGAAGACGTTGATGGAACATGGTGATTGCCGCGAATTTATGGACCGAAGTGGAATCGTCGAGGGCGCAACATGCATTTTCACTTTAATTGGATATAAGTGTGTTCTTTTCAAGGTAAGGCTATTGGATGCTTGAGCATGTAATCGTGGGAGAGTATTTGTTGGCGTCTAAACGAAATGTAGTT